TGAATTCGAATTCATTTTCAAATTGGATTTGAGTTAGATCCAAAAAACTCAATATCCCACTATGAATATTGTGCAAATATAGTTCACACCTAGTTTATATATTGAAAATATTAATTCATATATAATTTATTCAATATTACAGTTAAGAAATTGAATTCTCAACTTATAAAAACATAATAATTGTCAAAATTGATCCAATTTTTATCTATTTTGATCTAATAGTATAAAATTTATAATCAAAATTTTTTTCCACTTAAAAATCTTCATTTTCTCTATACGAGTCTCAATGTCACACAATTCAACTTACGGACTTGATTTCATTAATCCATACGTATCTCTTTTTTTACTCTCTTATCTCTCTTTATTTTTTTATATATTCACTTAAATTTTAAATTGAATAATTAAAAAAAAATTTATTATTTAATATATAAAATATTATATAATTAATATTCAATTTTTAATATTATAAAATATTTTTAAATAAATATTAGATATAACAGTAATACGGTATCATCAATGTCACACCAATGATTGTAGGAGATTGGAGGGATGTGCTGGTAATGCACGCTCAAAATTTGTTGTGGTTGAGAAGAGGTGAGTGGCCGTAGCACTTCGTTAAGGATTTCTTATTCTATGTACTTTTGTTAGAGATTTCTTTTTCTAAGATTGGAAATAACAGACACTGTTTTTCTTTTCTTTTTCCAGGTCACAAACAAGAAAGACCCTTCTCAGAACTAGTCATGATCGTGTCTGCAAGTACAGTCAAAAGTAAATTTTAATTATTTAAAAATTTGATTTTATTATATTAAATAATATTTTTTATTCCTTTTTTTAATTATATCATTTTTATCTATTAATTAAAAATAATGTAATAGTTGATATAAAATAATTAAGTTCAAGAATGACAAAAAATTAAGACTCGAGACAAAATTATTGCAAAATAATTATTTTATTTTATTTAGGCGAAACAAATCTAAACAAAAAAAAAAATTTAGTACATTTTAACCCGATTATATATTTCAATAAAATGTAATGTTCTTTAAAATCTTTAACATTTTGTATATTAATTGAATATAAATTAATTTTTACTAATTTTCTAACATTTAGCACAATCACAAGTCTAAAGTAAAATCATTCTTCATTTATTTGTAAAACTTAGTTGAAATTATTATCGATTTTATAGAAAAAAATTATTCAAAATAGTTTGAATTATTTTTAAGTTACAACCTTTTTATCTTTAGCATGCAATCAAAAAAATATTTCTTTTAGAAGGTTAGTAGACTACTAATTTATTGAAAAAAAAATATTATTAAAATTTTCAAGATTTTAGAAGAACAAATATAATGTATTAAATAATTTAATAAGTCTTGATCAAAAGTGGTCCAAAAGTGAGGGAACAGTGCCTACCCTGATCCCCATGTGGCCCCGTCTCTGATTTGGAGAGGGCGGAACATCTTGAAAATGATGTAATTCTTGTATGTATCCCACGAGTCCTAAACTGTAGCCATAATAAAAAATAATTTATACATGTTGATACCAAAAATTATTCGTGGATTGTTTGAGAGAAATATTTTAAATTTACTCTCCTCAATATCCATCCAATATTCCTTAACATGTAAAATAAGTTGGAAAATTATATATGGTCATATGGCGTTTGCATAGTTTTATTTACACAGGTTAGTGTGAGAATGGCACTTACTGGACCATTTCTTGTGTGGGGAGGAACCAAATTCAAAAATAAAACCAGATGCAACTGGCTTTTTATATGTTTGTCAAAAGGTGAATATCTAATCCCACGTAATCAACTAGACATAAAGACGAACGGTAAACATAGACATCATAAATTCGAAATTTAACAATTCTTTTAGGCCAAAAATCATGATGTATTCCTCTCATAAATTTTTTAATCTCAGCATAGATGATTTTTCTTTAACTAAACTAAAAAAAATTAAAATAATCAAAATGCATATAAATTAACACAGAACACACGAAGAAAATATGCCACATTAACCAATGACACAAATCTTATGGCAAATATACCAGCAAACAGTGTTCCAATGAAAAAAGGTTTAAAAAACAGTAAAACAATGTTCAAGATAGTATCTGCAGTCTGAATGTTTACCTACTTTTCATATCATGACAAAAAAAAACCTACCTTTCTTATCAAACAACCGGTCAGTGAGTGGCAAAAGCAACTTTTGAACACAATAATTTAATCTTTCTTTTGGCAGCTGAATAAGAATATTCAAACCCAACTGACCTTCACATGCCATTATGAGATGATCATGATCAAAATCATATTCTATGTATTGTTTTTATAATAATAGAAAGAATTACATTCAGGCCTCTCATGGTTAACTCAAATTAAGGAGATAACATCATAGTTTCTATAATTATATTGTTATGCTTGTCAACAGTCAAGATTGACATCATCCATCCTTCTTCACAAAATATCCAATTTTTCCTTTTGGGTAAACTCGTGACCTAAACTTTGCTAACCAAATCCAAACCGTACCCTAAAGTAAAACTAAAAAACTTGACCACTATCAACAACACCACCAACATAAACCTCCCACATGCAATAATATGTATAAACTAGCATAGATAAAAGAGATAGATAGATATATAAAGAGTATGACTATAGATGTTTGTTATCTTTACCAGTTAGTCAATTTATAGATTTGGCCAATTTCATCCTCGATGGTGCCACCACTATAACGATGCAAACAATATAGAGAAGCAACAATGGGTGGTGCATAAGTCTAAGTTTTGTCTAGAAAAAGGATAAATTATTATCGAACCCTACACACTATAACAAGTGTGTGTGTGTTGGTTGTGTTGTTTCGTGGGTGGGCATTGATGTTCCATAGACAGGGCTGTAGTGTAATTTCGAAAGCTACAAGGTTACCCATACAATTTGCGAGAGCCCTTAGGGGAGGAATTGTAATTTTCCCATGTCCTACTCCTCATAAATAAGATATTATTTAAATCATGTGGGCTGAACGGAACCTGTCTGAGTTGTGTTAAGCCACTACTACTTTGATAAGCAAGTTACGCGTTCCGGCGCTGAACGGAACCACGTCAGCTTCTTTGAAATTGTGCAAAGATTCTCTATGGTACGGACATTATTGACATACAACTATTCAAGTAATTCCAAATTCATATGTAATAATAAAAATAATAAAGAAAAAAAATTTAAAATATAGTGTCAGCTTGATTTGGTGAGGTCTTGATACTAAACTCTTAAATTTACCCCATTAATATATTCATGTATTTTTCATATGTATAAATTGATATCTACGGTCACTAAGAAATGAGGGAGGGGGTGACTATGTAACAAGTAAGATAATGCATTGGTTACCTTCAAAAAAAAAAGATAATGCATTGATAATATATTTTAATTTTTATTATGTATAGTCAATTCGACTACAACATGAAAGACGTTAAACCCGTATCTTATCTCACCCCTACAAAAAAAAAAAGTAAATAATATAAAATAAGCAAGATAGAAAGATCCCGGGGAGAGGAACAAGGACTTTAGCCCCTAAATTTTTAGAAGACCCATAATTTTAAGTACATCAATAGCTCACAAAAAAATTTAAATCTATTAAATTTTAAACACTACAAAAAAACTCTAAAAAATTAAATTCAATCAAAAATTTTTTTATTGCAATAATTTAGGCCTATAATCTAATCCATAGCATTAAAAACTAAAAAATTAAAAAAATTAAAAAAATATTCAAAAGTCAACTCATATTACTCTCACCCACTCTCTCTCTCTCTCTCTCTCTCTCTCTCTCTCTCTCTCTCTCTAATAAAAAAAATAAAACAAAAGTTGAAATTAAACACTCTATCTCGATCTCTGTGATAAAAAATAAAAATAAAAGTTGAAATCTCTTTCTTAATAATATTAACACATCCCACATAAAAAAAATTAAAAATAAATTAATTTTTTTAAAAAATAATACTAAAAATAAAAAAACCTCTATTTAATGTTTTTGCCTTAAAGCTCAATTTGGCTTGAGCCACCCGGGGGAAAAATATGACAATCAGCATTGGAATGGAGGGGCATTCAGACTCATATGAGTGACACAAAAGCACCTTCACCAGAGAAGACAATGTGCGGGATAGAGTTTCTTCAAACCTCATTGAAATGTGGTCCATTGCTGCTGTTCTTTGTTAGATTAGATGCCTATAATTGGGTTGGTGGGCCTTTCCTTTGATCAACAATGGGCTTTAGATTCTCCATCAATACTGCTAATCTGCTTATTTAGTGGGTGGGTGGGGGTGGTGTTGTCCTTTGGTTTTCTTTCTCTTTTTGTTTAATTTTTTTCTTGGTCATTGAATAATAAGCATGCCACCGGATTTGATTTGGAAATAAATTGTATATGAATGTGTTATGTAATTTAGTGATTTTTTTGGGACCATTTTTAGTGATTATTTGATAAATTGAATTGAATATGCTAAAATCAACTTTAATTTAGTCATTAAAATCAGATACCCAATTTTTATGAATTCAAATATGAATCATAAAAATAATTTCGAATTCGAATTCATATCAATGTAAATCGAATAAAAAACCATTCAGTTTGTAAGGCTTTTAAATACCTGCATGTATTAGTATGCACTATGCAGCATCCCTATTGACTGCTGAAAAACAATGGGCTGTGCCTGTCAGATAAGCCTGCCCACAGGCCACATAGGAAGTCTTTAGGCAATAGTGGTCTATGTGACACCACCTGACAAGTCAGTTGAGCTTAAGACCATTTGACAAGTCAGCTAACATTATTAATATAATTACCTTCAGCAAAAAAAAAACACTATTAATTTAGTACTAGGAAAAATTATGCAGAACAAGGATTATTTGGATGCCCACATTAATTTGGAATTGCAAGTTCACCTATCAATTTTACTGCTCCAACTTTACCGATTTACTAATCCGGCCATCACTTCAGACTTCTCCCATTGATCCTCAAGCACCGCATACTCTCACTTGCCTTTCAAGAACCATTGGACTTTGGTAATGAAGCTTCTCCAAGCACAGTCATGGTGGACTTTTCTAATGAAGCTTCTCCAAGCACATCCATGTTGGACTTCGTTAATGAAGCTTCTCCTAGCACATCCATGGTGTTTTCCCTACCTCCCATATGTTTGGCTCGGATACTTCTCGATCTAGCCACATTTTCCCCCAATTTTTGCATGAGTTTCTGCCTCTTTTTGATGATCTTCAATGCTAATATTTTCAATGGAACTGTAATATTCAGAGGCAGAAGCACTTCTTCCAACTCATGCCACTCAAGATCTTCAAAGTCACCATCTTCATGTAACACCCTGTACCAACCTGACTTCTTATCGAACTTGAACACTTTTTCATTATAGTACTGACCTTCGAACCATCCGCCAAAACTTTTGTACTTGTGTGATTTTGTACCATTTGCTATTGGAAAAAGATGGTTTTAAACAAGTTTATTTGTATAATTTAAGGCTTAAATAAAAGTGAGACTCACATCTCAAAATTAGTAGGACCAAGGTTAAACGCGTTCTCCACCGTGAGAAAATTAACGTGATATATTTATTTACCCAAAATCATTAAAATTAGAATGAAAAATTATGTCTCAAAGTGACATAGTTGAAGTGATGAAATAAATTAAGTTTGATGTAGTGAAATAAGACTTATCCTACATTGGAAGAAGACCAACACTTTGGTGAGTTCATGGGTTGGGCCCTAAGCGGTACCGCACTTTCGTGAGCAGAGCGAGAGCCTACACTACCTTAGTTATCACATATGCGTATCATTTGTCTCACCACGACCCAGCCCGGCTTGGGCTTGGGTAAAAAAGATATAATTTATTTAGAGCGGTGCGGGTCATAAGTTAAATCAATCAGATCCAAATGCGGATCGAAATTAAAGAATGTGTCTCTTCAATTTTAATAGTGACAACCCATGCCTGTTCTGGCAATCTGAACAACCACTAAAGGTCTATAAATAGACTTCTTGTATCTCTCTCTTTTCATTTTGTTGCATTATTCTTTTGGTTTAGTTCAAGTATAAACACAAGTTATGTTCGCTAGAATCTTGATGATTGAAGTGATGTTTCTTCTAAGAAGGTAAAATTCGTTGTATCTTGGAAGACAGTGGCTCATCCACCTTGAGCACTGAGAGGGAACAAATCTGACTTAAGAAGATTGTGTTTACAAAGCTCATATTAAAGTTCTAGTTGTTCTTATTTATTGTTCACACTGATCTGCGTCCATGTGAGTGCACTGATTTTGATTTCTACATATTCTGTTTAGATTAGTACATAAATTAGGCTTTATATAGTTTAATATAATCTAATTATATACATATATTTTTCGTAACAATCTTAAGACAGATTTGTGTTTTATAATTATATCAAGTACTGTTATAAGTCTACTATAGAATTTTGTATTCTGTTACTGCTTTACTTTCGTTAGTTACTATACTTATCACAAATCAGAATTGTGTATTTTGTTAGATTGTTGATTTTAATATTAAATTATTGCTTCTATTTGTGTAACAGAAATGACAACTTCAAATGATTTTGTTTCTCCTATTGTTATTCGTACAATAGTTGTTCCTACAATTGTGAATGTGTGTCATGGGGAGAAGCTCGAGAAGTTCAACGGCTCGGACTTCAAACATTGGCAATCTAAGATGTTTTTCTATCTCACAACCCTTAATATTGCAAAGTTTCTTAAGGAAGATATTCCTTATCTTGATGCAAATGAAACAAATGTGGAAAAGATGGCTACTATTGATGCTTGGAAGCATTTGGATTTCTTGTGTAGAAATTACATCCTCAATGGGTTAGACAATGCATTATACAATGTGTATAGCGCAATTAAAATCGCAAAAGGACTTTGAGAGTTCTTGGACAAAAAGTACAAGACCGAGGATGTCGACACAAACAAGTTCATTGTCTGTAAATTCTTGGACTTCAAAATGGTGAATTTTTAGACTGTTATCTCTCAGGTTCAAGAAATTCAAGTAATCATTCATGACATTTATGTTGAGGGTATGTCTCTTAGTGAGTCATTTCAAGTGGTTGAAATTGTGGAGAAATTACCACTCCTATAGAAGGATTTCAATAACTATATCAAGCATAAGAGTTAGGAGATGAAACTTGAAGAATGAATTGTTCGCTTGAGAATCAAGGAGGATAGTCGTAAATCTGAGAAGAAAAGTTGTCACACCCCCCACCCCGAATCACATAGGGTGGGCAGCGGACCGGCCACCAAGGCCTTAACCAACTAACTGTGTGCATAATAAATATAAAATACAACGGAAGACAAATAATAAAGTGATCCAATCCATCGACCTAATGAATACCAAATGAGTAAACTAAACATCACCAACATCATTATTAAACTCATGTAAAACAATAACTAAACCATAAGGTTCACTATACTAAAGTCTAAGTATGAGCAATATTATTCTCAAAACAATTAAATATTTATCTCAAAACCAAAAAAGACATTTATTTCTGAAAACCTACAATAAAATAAATCTTCAATTATTCTAATCCTTTGTCTATCCGGGGATTTACTCCTCCCCCTGATCCTCACCTAAAAAATGTTAAATGTTTGTGTGAGCACAAAGGTCCGTGAATAGTAACCACCTCTAATGAGGTGTGAAAATAAATCCCATATTTTATATGCAAAAATAAATTTTGTTATATATATAAGTACAACAAATTGTATATCAACCCCTTCCATATAATCATTTAAACAAAATGATCTCATGATCATAAATACCTTTATAAAAGCAAAGACATTTATAACTCAAACATCCACTCATTTCCACAAATAAATTTATAAATAAAAAACATTTATAACTCAAAACACACATACAAATTCAGTTTCAAATACATTTGTCAAATCATGTTTGTTACCACTAGCCTAGTAACTGGTCTCATCTCTTGTCATCACTAGCCTGATGACTGGCCCCGTCTCTTGTTATCACTAGCCTAATAACTGATCCCTATGTGCACATCTCTATACCGACCACGCCAGTATACAATTTTGTTACCATTTAGACCTGGTAACCCAGTCCCCTTCTCATAAAACATAATTTCAACACACACACTAAAACTGTTGTTTTAGTCCCAATGCACACAAAATTTCCCTTTCATTATCAAAACACATTTAAGCAATGATATAAAATCATTCCATAAGTTTTTCAAATTCACATCTATAACAATTCACAATTGCAAAACATTTAATTGCAACCCCAAACATCAACATATATCATATATATAAAAAATTCACACACACGCACCCACAATTTAATATAGAAAATCCTCCCAATAGAAGTAATAAACTATTCACCTTGATTTTGAAAATCTAATTCAAAGCACTCTTTACCAACCTCAATGCAATCACCATCTAATCCAAAATAACATAAAACAATCAATCATTTTTCCTAACTTCGTCGTTTCGCAATTCTATATTTAATTTTTATATTTCCCACCCATTGATATATACTCAATATATATTTTACATATAAATATCCTTTCTAATATGAGATAACAAAGTATGGAACTATTCTGAACTATTTAGAAAAAGTTTCTAAAGTTTTGGGGTCAAATCATAATTTTTGAAATTTTAGGGATCAAAGTATAATTTCCTTGAAAAACAAATTTTTCTGTTTTTGGGATTGCCATAATTTTTTCAGAATTCTATTCTTACAACTTACCAAGTAAAAAAGTGGTTAAAATCAAGTTTAGAAGAATATAGCGGTCAAAGTAAAACTCTTTAAAACTAAAAGAGAGCTTTTCATAATTTTACATTTTTTCACCATATTCTTCCTACAGGAACTCTAAGACCAGTAACCCTTTCCCCTCTTTTTTTTTTTTTACCTTTTGACACATGGATTAAATTCTTTAAACAACTTCAAGACCAATCAATCTTCAATTAGGTCTAAAAACACATAAATTAGCAATCTTCAATAAAACTTATTTACATATTCATCAATATATATATATATATATATATATGCCTCTTTCTCTTCTAAGCCCTTGCTACCTTTCTTTATTTCTTCTTTAAATCACTTCCTTCTTTCTCTTCCTTTTTCTTTACTTGAAACCCTAGCCTTTCCCTCCTTTCTCTTATTTTAACGTGTTTGTAAGTATTACTATGGAAAGATAATATACATATCTATATATTAGTAGACGTCTAGGGCAACAAGGGAACTCATTTAAATATAAAGTGTAGGAGCCAACTATTCTTGATAACACTAAAGTCCCCTTAGCAATAAAGAATTAGTGTATAACCAATTCTACAATTCTAAAACTCTATCCAACTCCTTACACCAAAAACTAAATTATCTCAATTGATTTTCAAATCATATCCACAAGCTCATAAGGATAGACCCCAAGCCCAATAAAAGTCTACAACTTCTAAAATTAAACTTATTCACTTTTATTTTTATTATTAATATTTTTATTTCATTTTTTTTCTTGGGTATTACAAAAGTAGAGTTTCTAATTCCATGGAATCTAAGGCCAACATAGTTAAAAATATAACCAATACTAACAAGAAAAGGAAACACAATGGCGAATGTTCAAATCAATGATAGAATAAATTTAAGGGCAAGTGCTACAACTATGGCAAACTGGAGCATATCCCAAAAGATTGACGTAGGCCAAAGAATTTTAAGATGCCTAATGCACAAACAAACATGACTGAATCAGACAAACTTTCAATGGAAGTCTCCAACATGAACCTCTCTAGAGTGGTTTACGAATATAACTTGGTGGGTAACCTCGAGGAATAGTGGGTTGATACTGGCGCCACCTGACACATTTATGCAAATAAGTGGTTGTTTTCTACTTACAAGAAGATAGAGTATGATGAACAGCTCTACATGGAAAAATTCTTCTAGTTCAAAGGTTGAAGGTTGTGGAAAGGCGATACTCAAGATAACATTTGGTAAGAAACTCACCTTGAATAAAGTGCTTCATGTCCCTGACATTCGCAAGAATCTAGTGTCTGGTTTCTTGCTTAGCAAAAATGACTTTAAGTTAGTCTTTGTATCAGAAAAATTTACACTCACTAAGAATGAGATGCTTGTAAAGAAGGAATACATGAGTGATGGGATTTTTAAGCTCAATGTAATGACTATTGTACCCACATCTTGTAATAATAAGAATGAGATAAATTATTCTTACTTGCTTGAGTCTTCTAATTTATGGCATGCTAGACTAAGACATATTAATTTTAATGCAATTAGAAGATTAGTTAATTTGAATGGTTTGCCTAAGATGTCTATTGATCCAAATCATAAATGTGAGATTTGTGTAGAATCAAAGTTGGCAAAAACAACCTTCAAGTCAATTGAAAGAAGTATTGAACCTCTTGAATTAATTTACAGTGATGTTTGCGACTTAAAGTTTGCACAAACAAGATGTGGTG